GGAAAGGAAAGGAAAGGAAAGGAAAGGAAAGGAAAGGAAAGGAAAGGAAAGGAAAGGAAAGGAAAGGAAAGGAAAGGAAAGGAAAGGAAAGGAAAGGAAAGGAAAGGAAAGGAAAGGAAAGGAAAGGAAAGGAAAGGAAAGGAAAGGAAAGGAAAGGAAAGGAAAGGAAAGGAAAGGAAAGGAAAGGAAAGGAAAGGAAAGGAAAGGAAAGGAAAGGAAAGGAAAGGAAAGGAAAGGAAAGGAAAGGAAAGGAAAGGAAAGGAAAGGAAAGGAAAGGAAAGGAAAGGAAAGGAAAGGAAAGGAAAGGAAAAAAAAGAAAAGAAAAGAAAAGAAAAGAAAAGAAAAGAAAAGAAAAGAAAAGAAAAGAAGAGAAGAGAAGAAAGAAAGGAGAAAGATAGCTCTACATACCAGGTCACAGTTTGGTGACAATACAGAGATTCATATTTATATGTAGATACCTTCCTCTTTGTCTTAAGGGACAAAGAGAGCGATATCTAGAAATATATATATACAAAAAGTATAGGTGGAGAGCAGGGCTGGGACAAATATTTCATAATTAATTGATTCTCTCTCTATTGGTAATTCAATTAAACATCAGTGTTGAATTAAATCACTTGTATATAAAACATTCTTAGCTGCTTTTCTTTAAGTTACAGAAAGATACATATAAGCTGCAAAATATAGGCCTCTGGAAAGATTCGATTTTATCTGTTTTCTCACATATTCCAATCAAATGGCCTCACTACTAGCAGCTTCTACAATCCTTACCCAAAGTATTCAGTGTTTATAAAATACCAGCTGGTCATCACTCAGAACCTTCTACAAGCAAACAAAATATCCCCACAGACCTGGTCTAGAATGCATAGACGGAAAAATAACACACCCATCATCATTTCCCATTTCTTCTCCTGAGATGTATGTTTAAAAGATGGCAAAATAGTCACTTGGTTGCTATTGTGAAATTCACAGTGTTTTCCCTGCAACACGTAGACTTTTTTTTTTTTTTTGCTTCACATTTGTGATGAATGTAGCACATCCCCCCACCCCACCCAAGTAAAGGTATTTTAACTAAGGCTCTAAAGGACCTCTTGATTCAAAGCAGCAGTGGCTCATCCCAGCCCTCACAACAAGAAAATACAACTTCATGTGCTATCAAAACCTTCATCTCTGATTAGAAATCCCCGTCTGTTCCCCAGCCCCTCCCCACTCCCCACCCTCACATCTTATAGCAGTATTTCAATCTAGTTACAGGCTGCAACAACCCAGATGCAGACTTGTGCTAACATGTATGTGGTGTACCTTAGTTATTCAGTGACCTACTAATTTTATTGGGTTATTTAATTTCTTTTTTAAACATTTTGTAAAAGTCTGCATCAACCACAACAGAAACAATATCTCAGAAAGGTGGTGAGGGGTATAGAGAGACAGAAGGAGAGGAAAAAGAGAAGGGAACAGAAAAGAAGAAGGAAAGAAGGAGGAAAGAAAAAACAGAAAAGGAAAAAAAGTGATAAAGAAACAGGAAGAAAGGACAAAAAATAAAGAAAAAAATAGGCAGTCACTTATTAAACTGTAGACAATATACAGATATATTGTTTAACAAATCAAAATGAATGAAGTCCTTTTAGAAAGGGTATGCTCCATCACACATCACTGGGTGCTGTTGCTTTACACGCATCTGTTCCCCACGGGCAGTTCTGGGTTCCGCAGATCCACTGAGAGTGAAGGACAGAGTGTGGCGAATGCTGCTGTTGCTACCCATGAATTTTGGCGTTGTCATTTCCTACAAGTCGTGTTGCAGTCTAAATAGTTCAGCTCATTCTTGGAATTACTTCATTACTACAGGCGAGTATAAAATGCTAATGGAGCCGCACTGTTATGCTAGGACAATAAAACAATAGCACAAACCTGGAAATGACAGTAAAACAAACTCTGTTCTCTGAGCTGGGAAGCTTGTCTGTTCATTTCACTGTGACAAATCAAGAAGTGAGGTGGGAATGGAAGAAATGGTTTTATGCAATCATTGGGGGAAGAAAAGTGCTTGTTGTTATATCTCTGGCTTTCTAAGCACTGCCTCTGCTGCACTCCAGTTAAAAAGTTTAATCTTACAAACACAGAAAAAGAAACATCAAAAGAAAAAAAAATAAATTTGGTTACTCAGCAGACTTTATCGATTTATTAATAGCACTCTAATCATAATTTTTAATAACGTAGGTGTATGTGAATTTATACATATACACACAGCCCATACATAATGTGCATGCATGTCTGCACATATATAAATAAAATACAACAGACATAGGCATACATGTATATGCTATGTGTGTGTATATATATATGCCAAATGCAAACACACATATATAATATATATTATATATATGATTAGTTCATAGCACAGTCCAGAAAGACTTTTTAAAATTAGCCTGATTGTCATATTTACTCAGTGTACACAATTTAGCTGACAGTGCAAGCATGATGAAAATGCACATATACTCACCCTTCATTGTGATTTGAACATATTTCTTCCTCTGCTCATTCTGCTACACTTACCCACCTTTCCATGAACAAACGCAAACTATGTATAGCTACAGTTTATAGCTTGTCTACTGTGATTATACATTTTATGCACTATCAAGAACATTAATGATATAGGTCAAGGTTATCCATACTGGTGGCTCTGTAGAACATTTGGTCCTTTAGAAGTTTAACATACTGCTATGTTATTGCACAATGCATTTTAACACTATTTCTTCTCTGAAATGACTCTAATAGTCTCACTAGTAAATCAAAAAGAAGATGCCACTAAGTACATTTTCAGGGTTTTGTGGTTATTTTTGGTATACATTCTTTCAGTGCTTGCAAAACCCACCTGTTTGCTTTCAGGCTGGAGCCTGCTTTCCAATATAAGAAGCATCTCAGATGCCTTTTTCTTCAGCTCATAAGAAACTAAGACAGAATACAGCAGGCAGAAACTTAGCAACCCCTCCACCACCTGCAGCCTCCTCCCACTGCGCAGTAAGAGTGGTCTCTGACACCTTTGTTTTCCACCACTGTTATTTTGCAAATCAGTTTCAAATTCCTTTAAAACACAATACTCAGATTCTCAAGAGAATGGGTTTCACTGGATGCTCAGTCTTTATCTAGCCTTCTATTTGAACTTCCAAGACAGTCTAGATAAAATCTTAAGGCCCATTTTGTAGGAATCTTCCTCTGGCTTCTTGTGGTTCCAGTTCAGTAGCGGTTAAGAAGAAACATCTAGTTTATTAAAGAAATACTGAGTATGGCTTTATAGTTACACTGTCATGTTTATTTGTAATGCTGCCTTTTCAATGACATTGAGAAGGGTAAAACTTCATCAGTGTCCAGTGAACTGTTTTCTTTTGAAAATGTTCAGAATCTTTATGAGCTAGCTCTAAAAGCTTCTGAAGGAAAAACCTAAAGTGCCTCAATAAATAATATATGTGAGCAAATTATATATTAAATGTGCTATGGGATTACTTACAAAAATAAAATGCTTAATTTATTAAGTGAAATATCCCCAACACAAAGATGAAGGACTATTTTGATCTGGCTCATCTCAATAGAAATAACAAAAAGAGAAAACAGAAAGAAAGATCACTTTTTTTGCAGTAATGCCCCCTCACAGAGGGAGGCAAAAGTCTTGAGGAATAGGTAAGGTAGGTTTTCATCTCTAAGAATTCATATTAAAAATAATCCTAACTCTAAATTTGAAATTGTCAACATCTGGTTTGAAAAACAACAGGTATGCTCATGCAGCTGTCATCAACAGAGTGGCGATGCTGATGTGGTACACACACAATGCCAATGCAACTAAAATTATTAAGAAAGAGTAGATGTTGGTAATGACAGCACTAGTATCAGTACAAACATGGTGCTGAGCTCAAGGTCTTTGCACTCTGAATAGTAAGCCATAACCTCAGAGTAATTTGTTTTCTCCAGAGATCTCTATCCCCTGCCATGCCAAACATGGCCAGTGATCTCCGTGCTTTAGATTATTCATGTTATATCAGCCTATGGTATCTGTAATATTGTAAAGGCATTGTAACATTAGCCCACTGTAACGAAACAGAAGTTACATCCTTACAAGTTTGCTACGCCTATTAGGGTGTACTACAAGATGGGTGATACTTTCTGCACAAAGGGCACAAAGACTATGCAAAGTTTTGCTTGCATGGTGAAAAAAACAGAAGGGAGAGAGGAAGGGAGGCAGGAAGGCAGGCAGGCAGGCAGGCAGGCAAGAAGGAAGGCAGGAAGGCAGGAAGGCAGGAAGGAAAAAAGGAAGGAAGGAAGGGAGGGAGGAAGGGAGGGAGGAAGGGAGGGAGGGAGAGAGAAAGGAAGGGAGAAATATGCTGCTGGACAAGCACACTATAAGATACACCTGCCCCAGCATCTATAGCTTGCCCTATCTTATCAAAGTCCTTAGTTTCAACATGTGATCCTGACATTAACACTGTACGTCAATAAGCCTAGCTGCAGCCTTTATTAAAAAAGACTAGACATAGAATATTTTCATACCAGTAGCATGACAATATCCTACCAGAAGACAAAATCAGGGCATGTGTTTAGTTTATCATGTTGTAAAGTAATCGTGTGCAGTGCAGGCAGCATCTTTTTCCCTTTTACTTGTGTCTGGCAATGAAAGGTGCTGGTAAAGCACCTCCCTGAACAACCCCTTTAGTCTGCAGAAAGACTCTTCAGGGAAAGTGCTAAACCTTCTCTTGCCTTGCATCAAATCATCTCCGTTTTCTTGTGGGGTTGGATGCATCTGATCCCCTAGTTCCTCCAGATAGTATATAACACGGGACTGTCTTCTTTCCATCTGGCTTTGTCTCTGCAAGGAACATGCTTCATGTAGAGAACACCAGTCTTCTTTTTCCACCCATACACCGAAGCAAAAAAATTGAAGTGAATCCATAGAAACTCCCAGTAGCTGTACAGCAGATATCACAAAGTTCGAGTAAAATAGATTTTTCCCTTTTTTCCATCCACATCAAAGGCATGAATACAACAAGGCATTGTTAGTTGTGGTGGGCAAACTGAAAAGTCTGCTGATATAACAGATCAGGTTTTTAAGGCCTTTGTCTATGCAGAGTTACAACAATGCAGAAGCCAAATTGATTAGAAAGATGGAAGAAAAAAATGATAGAAACTGAAAGAGAGAGAGAGGAAATACATCTCAGTAATGTCTAAAAAGTCAATATTGTGTCTACAGATGGAGAAGTGCACATTGCTTGCCCTTTGAAAGCTTCTCCGCAACTTTGTCATTAATACTGTCAAAGTTAAGAACACATGTTAATGGAGTTCAGCTGCAGTTGAACGCATCCATTCCTGCAGACCATAAGAAGAAATGCTAGACTTTAGCCTAAAATATCCAAGTAGACTGGAGATGCCTTGGCCAAGTTCTGGAGGAGGGAATGGATTTCTTTGATGTTGAGCCTCATGTGGGGCTCCCGTTGCCAACAGCCCAGCATCAAGTCATACACTTCCTTGGGGCAAGTGCGAGGTCGCTGCAGGACTCGGCCCTGAGTGATGCACTCAATCACCTATGAGAAATCACAAGGAAAGATAAGCACAGGTTTGCCAACTACATGGGGTTCATCCACGGAAGAGTTAACAGCTAATCGCCACAGCAGCCTCACCACTGGCAGTCACTTGGCCAGCTCTGTCAAGGGTTCCATTTCTAGGGAGATGCACAAGCAATAACTTCCCTGATGCTAAGTTCACTCACGTTGCCCCTTCCACTCATGAGGGAACAATAGCCAGAAAGTAATCCCATAACCCCTCTGTCTACCCATCCGTCAGCCACATGTCATCTCAGAAAGAGGCTAAGTTTTCACCGTGCTCACACAGAGCATCAATGCCTCTCCCTCCCTCTCTAAACTTATTAGTGACTAACCTCAGGAGAGGGCTTACTTGTGACTGCCTGGAAATCAGGAGATTTCCAGATTATTTCAATCTATTCAATAATGGTTTGGGACACTGCTGGACTCTGCAACAATGGCATATATGATGTGCAACTGAAATCACTCAAAGTGTCCATTCAGGAGATAGCTAAGCTCTTTCTCATTGCATCATAGTCTTTCCTAATACCCACAACAGTATGCTACCCTATACAAAAGAAAAAGGCAAGTTCCAGTTGGCATTGTTCTGCTTGGACAAATTCCATCCACCGTGGGGAGAAAAGGGTGAGAAGGAAGAAATTCTGCCACAAAGTTCATGGCATTACCATAAATACCTAATACCAGTGTTTTTCCCTTTACTAAATAAATTTGTTGCTGTCCCTTCTCCAGAGAAGCCACACCAATGGTTAACGTGCCAGCCTTCCCAATACAGTTTGAGAACATATTGCACACACCTCATTGTTCGACAGCTGATACCATGGCTGTTTGCCATAGGTAAAGATTTCCCATAACACAACCCCCAGGCTCCAGACATCACTTTCTGTGGTGAACTTCCGGTACATGATACTCTCTGGAGGCATCCAACGAATGGGCAGCATGGTGTGACCCCCAACCTGAGAAAAATAAATGAAAGAGTCAGAAATAATTTCTCCAGACCCTCGCAAGGAAGAATATCAAGACATTAAATAAGGACAGTCCATGTTTGGGTGTTTTTTTTTGTTTTGGTTTGGTTTGGTTTTTTTTCCCCATCTGAAACCATTCACTTTGGGGAGCTTTTCAGAACTAGGGATTCATGGTCCAAATTCCTCTCCCCTCAACAGCAATTACTACCATGGTAGGTCTCTCCACAGAATCTCCAAAGACAAAGTTCCTGAAGTGCGTTTAACATTTACTTGGCACACTCTACCCAAGGAACAGGAAGCTTTATAAAATTAATTAATTTAACCCACCAACCTGTTTTAAATTAGATCAGTTTAAATCTTCATTTTAACACTCAGAGAAATAAAAAAGATTCACAAAATGAAGTCTGTACTGATGATTCTCCTAGAAACACAGTGATGTCAGCTGAAACCCATGAAGGCACAGTGGTCTGATGGCATGATACAGTAGCATCTGGATCTGTATGGTTTCATATCCTAATTTTTAATAAATTAAAGCCATGCTATTTTCTACCAATAATTTCCAAAGTTAAAGCATTTTTTTACATGTTAACTACCCAGTCCCATACAACTTTAAAAACAACCAAAAAAATCAGTTCTCTGGATATATTCCCTTGACAAGAAACAGCTTGTAAGACATGGACTCCCATCCCATCACAAGTCAACCCATTCTGAGTGGCATCTTTCACTGAATTCATGCCTCTGAAAGCCTAGAACATTTTTAATTTTCCCCAGAATGCTGCACTTCCTTCAAATTCCGTTTCCTAATCTTAACTAAAATTCAAAATAATCTCTTATTTCCAGTTTCTAAATAATTTATTATTCCTGATACATACCATTCTGACTGGATCATATCAATAAAGTCATCCACTCAGGAACAGCATAACTGCTGAGATACTGTGATACAGATATATAGATATTCTGATTACTTTTGTATCAAGAAAGCTGTGAATATTTCCAAGAAAGTTTAAATATAAATAAATAAATAAGGAAAGATTCAAGGACATCTAATTTTTGATTAGCTCTCATTCACCTGTCTGAAAATGTATTTAGTTATAAAATCACATTTCCACTTTTAAGACTCTGTCAATTCAAAATATAATTTTTCCTTGCAGGACTTTAAATTTGTTGTTATAAATAATGCCCTCCTTGGTCTCAGGTTGAAACAGCAAACGGAAGGAAAACCCAAGAGAAGTTCCGTCCGGGTTCACACTATTTCTAAATCACATGGAACATCCATTTCCAGCTGTTTGATGGTAATTCAGCATTAGCACAGCATACCAAAAACACAGCTATGCCTGTGGGACCTCAACCCTGTTCTGTGCATTGCCACGAGTCAACTCTCGCTACTCCATGAAAAAAGAAAGTCATGCTAAACCTTTCATAGACTTGGACTGTTACTAGGCTTTTCTTCTCCTGGCAAAAACGAGATGTCCTGCAAGCGATGGAGGAGTTTTTTGTTGGGACGCTGATTTCAGCTCCTGGAGACATTGCAGATTTACTTCTGACTCGGTGCAGGCTGCTGTGTACAGGTGTCAGGGCCATTCAAAAGGGGATCCAAGTCCTGTGGCTTTCAGCCTAACTTAAAAACACACACGAGCACTTTGTTGATAGTGAATGAATACATGTTTTTAAGAGCTTTGCCCATTTTGGCCTGTTTGTGTTACAGTTTACCCCTCTGTGTCAGACAGACTGGTTGTTAAGTTCTGCGCATCAGCATTTTTAATCATCTTTGACTGAGAAGTTACTCGATGTGGAGAGTATGAAGTAACACATGAACATACTGAAATGCAAACAAAGCTTCCTTTTCCTACTTTATCATAATCTAATCTGACATGACAACCAGACAGCCACAAACCACCACTTTTATCCCCACCTTGAGAGGTATTTCATTGGAAGTCAGAAAAGTTAGTCCCTTAGAAACACGCAGCCACATACACACAAACAAAGGGCAAGCGCCATTAAAAGATGGTTAGTGATGAGAAGCCTTTGGTCTCATCAAATATTAAAATGGCTCTTAGATCTGCTCATCATACAGCCTCTGCTACTGGTTCTTTTCAGTAATTTCCTTCACTCATTCCTTAAAAATTAATGAAAGCTACAAACAATACTATATGTGTCTCTGTTTTTTCCTTATTTGTCACATCTTACATCATGAGATTTTGAAAAAGCAATTAAAAAACCCCATTCTCCAAATCTTCTTTTTCCCATGATTCCTTGCTACAGAACCACAGTGTATTTGTGGTAAGACTCTATACTGAATTTCCAATGTCATTCAGTAAAATAAATTACATACCTCTAGAGTGATGACAAATTGTCACCAAAATGATGGCTCTGCGATGAACTGATTTGTAACATCACAGACCTAGCTGTCTCTGTCTGCAGTCACAGCAAGACTGACTCATCAATATTGACACCAAGAAGTCAATTTACAGATAAGCATGAGCCATAGGGCTCTTTGGTATTCTTCCAACATCATCTTGCCTGGAGCTGTGTCCATTTCTGTCCCTGACAGCAGAAGACTCCAATGGGCAGAGTACTTGTCCATGAGTGAGAAGTCCTGAGGCCTCTCCATTTCTGCCACTGACAATATAGTCATTTTAGGCAAAGTTCCTTCCAACACCTCAGCATCTTTGTGATTATAATATTTAATGTCTTGCAAAGTATCGATGAAAGTATCAGGACGGGTGCTCTTCTTGCCAGATGGCATTGCAATGAAGATAGGACATCTGTGCAACACTGAGCATCACCTGTGACAGGCTGAGTAACTACCTGTGGTCCAAAAGCACCTTCAGTTTCAACTTAGACTTCAGTCACATCAAAAGCCTAGGTCAGGGCCTGGCCAAAGGCACTTTTTCAAAACGCACATTTCCTTCTCTATTAATGATCAGTGGTTATTGAATCAACACTCACTCAGCTGAGAAAAGCATTAAGCGCCGTATTAGGAATATGCTTAAAATGAAGCACATGCTTCAGAGCTTTCTTGGCCTGAAGCCTTGCCATCACTGTTAGCAGGTTGCCTGAAACAAATTTCCAGTCAGTTATGAACTTCTTTTGATCTTTATTGGACTGTAGAGCTCAAGCACCCATAGTTGTGCCATGACAGCAGTGAGGAGAGGTGGAGTGTCTTTTAGCTGTTGTTCTCAAACTCTCAGCAAGGCTAAGGGGTGTTTTCCAAGAAGGATCAGTGAAGGAAAACATGACTACGGTGATCAAAATTTAAACATGCCGAGTGCTTCAAAGGGATACCTTCTGCACAGGCCTCAGTAAGAAATGCAAGTATTACACAGCAAGTATTCATCAGCATTCTGCAGGATAAAGTCCCTGCTATGCACACTGTAGTTGAGGTGCTGCCTTATATACGTAACTATTAAATGGTTGTGTGCTAAGCAGACTGCAGTTGCAAGTAAAGAACACCTTTATATTCAGTCTTTCTAAGGTTATGATAGGTTTAAAAGCACTACAATTTTAACTTAAAATGCCATCCCTTGAAAATTCATACTGTAGCTGTAAAAATGTTGCAGAAAGACCATTTTAGGGATACCAATTAGAGTATATTTTCTTGATGCTTACCTGAAAGTAGCTGCATTATGGTGGTTCATTTTTATTTAGAATTGCACTTCTACAAACCCTTTCTGGGACTCAAGTACTTACTTCTAGATGTCAGTTTATGAAAGCAAGCATTTCCTAGACAAACTGTAGCCGTGTAATATGTTCAGTAGTTGCTTTTACTAATAATACTGGGCTAGAATCTAAAGCAGAAAGCCTGGTGGATTAGCTTCTGCAATGTGCAAACTATCCACAGGGAGGAGACTGGTATGCCAGCTCAGTGAACTCTGATGTGTTCTCCAAAGAAGCACTTCCAAGTGGAAACTGTCACCCTGTTCCCTGTATGAAATGTCACACTTTCAACAATAAAATGTCATTCCACTTGTCATCACTTTCAGCACTCATCTTTTAAATTAATTTAGCACTTCGAAGGGTGCCAGGTAAGACAACCTTGAACATTGTTTTCATCTATTTGCAAATGTCAGGCTTCAGGGATTGCTGTAAAAGCACCATGTCTTATCGTTGAAGCAGGGCATCTAATTCTAGTTTGCTGAAGTTTCTCCACTTTCTGGCTTCAAATGTTCTGTATCCTGCTTCACAGGCACTAGGAGATGGTGAGGCTTGTATAATGAATAAATTTCAGTTTTGTGAAGGAAACAACGTCTGTAGTATGAAATTCTGTAGAAGTTGATTTTTGCCGTCCAAAGGTCTGCACACATGTATGCATCCATCAAGCCATCCAATGTAAACACAGCTTTCTTGCACATTAATATTACTGCTACAAAGAAGAGACCTCCCTCAGCTTACTGTCATCAACCTAAAGGCAGGTAATTACACAATTTCCCTATGCCAGTTAAAAATGCATTTGTTAATATCCTGCTCTGGTCACTCTTTCAGCTTCTACAGCCCAACGGACATGGGAACCCAAAGCCCTATTGCCCAATGTTTAGGAGAAATGGATATGCTCTCTTATAAGGAACAACCAAATGAAGCCTTGTGCTCCTGCTGCGAACAGGATGCTGTGGGTGGAGCCAGGGGAAGCCAACCTACAGAGATATGGAAGAAACAGGCTGTATGTGGGGCTGCGAAAAAAGATGCAAGCCATGGGCTTGGAAAGGCATAAGAAATAAAGCTGCTAAGATGGCAGCTCAACCAATTCTTATCAGGTTTATGCCTTATTCATGTGCACCATGAAGAGGAAGGGCTGAATGGATTTGCCACACATTTGCAATGCATACCAGCTACAACATGCTCTCACCACAGCAGCACCTGGGGCTGCGGTGCTGAGGGTGTGACAGAGGGCTTTGGGGCTACAGAACCAAACCATAGGGTGCTGTGGGGGCTGACGAAAGGACAGGACAAGGACGAGCTGGAGCAGGAAGTGATCCCTCTTCTTGCTAAATACT